CTCAGACAGTGCTGGTTATGCTTGACTCCTCCGGTATTCTCGAGGCCTGGCTTCATAGTCGTCATGCCTCACCAGCGCGCAGCAGAAAGTTGCACAAGTAGAAGTAAACATTGTTAAAATGCCAAATTTCATAAGGTTCTTGTAGCTTTTGGCGGGTGGTCCATGAAAGCACCCGATGTCAAACACCCCGCCCTTTTTGCCCTGCTTTCAAAAGCCTATGACGAGAGTCCCCCTTGTCAGGTGGCTGGATCATCAATGTGAAAGCGGTACATTCTGCTTTTAACTAAAATACAGAAATGTGAACCTGATGATATACCTGAAATTGGGGTAGGAAAAGGTAAACGCAAAAGGACACAGAAAAAGAACAGGCAACGTCTCTTGAGACGTTGCCCGTTTTTTCTTTGCGTTTTCCTTTTCCTACCTCAGTCTCAGGTTTAATAATTAAAAATGAGAGTGTTGGTGAATAGATACGAATACATGAAAGGATAAAACATCAAGGACGGGGACGGATACAGGACTTCTTGAAAGAAGTACTCTTTCCACCCCTGTCTTCGATCTTCCATCAAGATTTCATGTATTCATATAGTATCAAGTTTTCCATCATGCTAAACTTACGCCAGCTCGCCTGCCCTTTGACCATTTTTTGTTAATAGTAAACGTGCAAACGAGGTTGTGCGACGTAATTATGCCGTACCCGGTACTCCATTAAAAAATAACAACATAAAGCTTTCCGTTCTTCAGGCGTGCGCCACACACATTCGCGTCTTGCCACGTTAAAAAAAAAAAAAAAAAAAGCTGACAAAACGTTTAAAGCGAGCGAAACGAATTTAAGCCTTACGGAGACACCTAACCTTGATGAAACTTCTTGGCAACCAACCGTGAACCCATCTGTTTGCTGGGCCCTCTTTGTCGAAGGTTCATAAACGTGCCGAATTCAAAGATGGATTGTTTCGAACATATCGTTCCTTACTTTTTGACGGTGCATACAATCCTTCGCGATATCAAGACGGCTCGGATTTCGCACCGCCCGAGTTTGTTTACACATTCCCGAATACGGCAACGTCCCGTGCCCTCGCGCGGAACACAGGACGGAGAAGTGACGGATGCGATAAGCTTGAATAACTTAAGCGATAAATCAGCTGGTTGTAGTGGCCGGGGATCATAAATGGAGCTCACAAGCTCCACACAAGGTAGATGGTTGGGTCGGTATCCAAGCTGGTCACCATTACTTTCCTTACATAACATCTGCGACTTTGTTTTGAAAGCAGACCCCTATTTTTAGTTGCTTGCAAGACGCGACACCGAAGTGACTATGAAGTGACTCCGAGTCGAAAGTAAGAACCGATGCGGCGTCGGCGGTCTATCCATCCCTGAAGGTATAAAAACGAACAAGGTCCTCTGTATCCTAGAGATTGACTTTTGTTAATCCTCCATGTTCTTCTCCGCCATTTCAAAGAAAATATGCACGCGAAGCGACGACTGAAATACACGTTCAAATTGGTAAAGGAGGGAACAACGCCATTAGAGAACACACGCAAACACATGAACCGGGAGACAAACCAGGCCTGGCGCGGACGACGGAGAGACGTTCCCGGAGCCACCAAAAGTGTTTCGAGCGATTTCCGCGAGGGCGCGCCACGATCTTGGCCAAACTCTGAAAAAGGTCAATTAATAATTTACTCATGCCTATTTTATATCAATATGAATACCATTTTTCTCATCTATACAATTGCATATAATGCATATTCTTTGGGGGAGCGGCCAAGCGTTGTAATTGCGACTCAAACATCGTCTTATATCGTCATTTTTCATGGCCATCGTAGAGCCTCGGAAAAAAAGCGGGTCCGAAAATACCTTAAAAAATTACAATCTTTTCTTTTTTTATGTTTGAAGGCGTTATTTGTTTTGTCATTAGTCGAGCTCCCCTCGCGGTCCGCAGCGATTGGGTTTCACCAAGTGCTTTGCGGGTAAGTGGACTCTTTGGATTTCTTAATCCGTAGTTACAACGGTCGCACGTCACACAAACTACAGTGCATTCGCAGTCCGCACGATGACAGCATTGTCTGCGGCGGCATTATCCCGCAAGTTCGGAGTTTTTCTTCGTGTACATGTATGTACTTCGAACATGGCCGCAGACAGTTTTTCTATGACCAACGCGATAGAACCGTAAGAAAAGGAAGAAACACGCATGCGCAGTTCAAACCTGAGGGCCCATCGTCCGTATCGAATGGGCAAAAACAGTTCCCTAAAACTCCCTAGTGCTTGCAGACCGTTTACTGTATGATGTGCACGCATTAGTGTGTCGTCGCAGAGCGTTATATATATATATATATATATATATATATATATATATATATATATACATAATATTTCAAGCAATTTCCCGTATGGTGAAACTCGACCACGAGCCAGACTGGACTTCTAGAATTCCCGGCGACACTCCTCATTGTGTTCCTTATTACGTCGGCCATAAAGGGGTAGGATTTCAGCAGCCTGCAGAAGCTTCCCTGCCTTTGTTTGTGCGCGCACAATGTCTGCCTTCGCAGGTGCAGAAATTTCGCACATGCACAAAAGATAGTCCAATATTGTTGATAAAAAAAAAAAAGTGCGCGGAAAAGCCATTATACATTTTGTTCCCCTCGTTTTGAAAAGCACGGCCTTGGGTAACTAGAATAAGTAAATAAATTATAACAAAAAAAAAAAAAAAAGAACAAAGCAAACGGATGCGCGGCGGCTATGGGGGGAGGCCTGTTAGGCTTATTGCGCGAAAGAGGAAGCAGCCAACGAGCGTCGGGCGGGATTCCAAAAAGCTTGTGCGGCATGCATAGCCGGATCTATTTTAGAAGCATTCAGCTACAAGCGCCGTAAAGTGCCTACTAATTTCTTTTTCTTTTTGCCTCGTTTGTTTGGGGTGTCAGGGCGTGAATTGTCGCGTTAGCCGTAGCGGGGAACGCCGGGAGAATCTCGCATTTATTAGAGGAGGAAAACGAGAATGGTAAGAGTAGAATGCGGGCGCGTTCCTGGGAAGACGAGTAGAACGCGGAGCTCTGATTCGAATGGTTAGACGTTGTCTCTAATCACACTTCGAATGCGTTCGAATGCACAAACGCGGCGTCCAGCGTTCCGCGTTCGAAGGGTGTGTTGAAACAAAGGCAGCTACGCTGAGTGCAAGTTCGTCTGCTTTCTTTGCGCGTTCGAAGGGTGTGTTGAAACAAAGGCAGCTACGCTGAGTGCAAGTTCGTCTGCTTTTTTTTGCAAGGGCTGTGGTGATTGAAGGATAGTGCCTTTACGTCAAAGCAAGTAATCAGAGCTCTTCGTTCTGACGTCATCACAACCCCTGCAAAATAAGCAGACGCAGTTGCTCTCCGCGTAGCTTTACGTCGAGCCACTAAGTAGTCCAGTCAGATGTCCGAGAGAAAGAAGGCTCCTGAATAGGCCGCAATGAAACCGCTTCAAACCAAAAAATCTCGACGAAAAAATAAAAATAAATAAAGAAACGACATCGCGCAAGCTCGTTCACGATTAAATAATGGGCTAGTTGGTACTGACTCATTAGAGAGTTTTGGTAAGTTGGTAAGTAAGTGGTAAGCTGCCGAGAGTGGGCCCAGAGGGCGCGCGCGCTCAATCCACGCTTCAAAGTGGCAGCACGAGCTTTCGCTAGCAATGCGAAACCATAAAATATGGTCTACTAAAAGCCTCGAAAACATAAAACAGGGCGTGCTAAAAAAAGGGGGAAAAAAAAAGAAAAAGGTGCTAGAGGACACGTGCGACACACAAGTGCACGTCTTGCGTAGTATGGCACCTATAATAAATATAACTCTCCCAGGCGAAACGTTTATTCGCCTCGAGATTCGATCGGTACGGCTCATGTGGTGAAAAGCAGAACTACGCTTTGTTTTACCCGAGGCTTGCCCTAAGTTTCAATCTGGGCCCCCAGACCACAAATCATTTTGTTTAGTTGCCTCGCTTGTTTGGTTGTGTTGCGTGCATGGCAAGCGGGCGCAACTTGAGTAACGAAGCAGAACAATTGTGTGTTCAACTATGCTGCGAACTGTAATGAATAGCTCCAACAAAAGTAAAAAAAAAAAAAAACTCGGGCGATTTTTTTTTTTTTTTTGTAAGTGTAAGTAGCGGCTATGAAAATGAGGCTATTCGGTATTTAAAGATATATTTAATAACTACAAAGAACACGAAATCCCTTTTTCTTTTTTTTTAATAACAAAATATAAAGTGTTGTGCCTTGTCACGTTTTCGTGCACCTGTCCGTCATCTTTACTCAAAAAGCTACGCACATCGAAGGAAAAAAAAAGCAGTTTATTCGAAGCGTAAAATTATTGATTCATTGTTCTGGTGCGCTCCTCTTGCCCCATTTTAAAACAAATACTTTTTTTTTCATTTATATTTTTAGTGCTTAGGGGTTTACTTTAAAATAGCCAGTGATGCCGGCGTGCTGGAGCCTTTGGACGTCAGATCATTAATTCCCGGAGATAAAGGGTCCTTTGCAGCTTCCAAACTTCCTACCACTACAGCTAACGCACAACAAACAAGCACGACCTCCGAAGATCAGTCAGTAAAGATGAAACAGTTTTTCACCTGCTAACCTCTGTTCCGCCCGAGTAACAGTTTGTTACGTATTCCGGCGCTGCGACCATCTGAAATGTCAGGTCCCATTCTATAACTGAAGTTTTAAATGAACACGACCGAAAAATAAAATAAGAAACAAAGAAAACTGACGAAGTGTCACATAACTCTTTTGAAACGATTTTTTTTTTTTTTTTTTGTCCTGTTTTTGTCGGCTGTCTATATAGTCATTTGCAATGTGAAAACGCCTGTGTGGCTCTTTCGAACGCCCGGCCTTGAGTACGCGCTCCGTGCCTTCCGCCGTGCTTTGCCTGCACGAGACGCCGAAACGTCGTCGAAGGTAGGAAGCAGACGGGACAACCGAAGCCCTGGCCGTTCTGACCCTGTCAGGGGAGTACGAAACTTCGAGGAGTACTCACCGCCCCCGTTCTTGTAGCAGAGGTATGGAAACCTCCACACGTTTCCCAGTCCGATGGCGTAACCCACGCAGGACATGAGAAAGTCCAACTTCCCGACCCACTGACCGCGGTCGGGCAACGCTGGCTCTGTGGACACCTCACCGGCGGGATCTTCACCGTCCCCGCCTCCCTTGAAGTTGTTCATTTCGTACGAGCCCTTCTTATCCGACATGGCTGCCGGTGGCACCTGTGCACGCACGGAACCCCGAAAATTCCGCGCCCACCTTCACTGATCCTCCACCGGAGTCACGTAGTCACCTGCGCTCCAATGTCTCCGTGGTGGCGGCGTTGCTCTGGCCCGTTTTTTGCACCGTTTTTGGTTGTGTTTTTCGCGTTTTTTTGTTTTTCTTTCTCTCGCGTCGTTTCTGGCGGGGTAGACACACACGCACTCACACGCACTCACACCACCGTCACCACCACAACAATCACAAAAAGAAAAACGCGCACCCAGAGACGGCCCTCTTCGCTTCCGAACGCAGTGCCGTCTGCTAGGCGGTCGCGCGAAGCAGACGATCGGCGGATGCGCCGCCCCGTTTCATTGGTGCATGGGTGTCACGTGGGAGAGACGGCGCGCGTCCAATGGGACGGCGTCGGTAAGGTCACGTGTCGAGTCGCACTCTTCCCCGCTTCCTCCGGGGACGAAATCGCGGCAAATTTGGTTTCGGTTTCGCTTATAACCTACCACCTAGTAACCTCTTCGATCTACGCGCCGGTAGCTTCATTTATAGAAGAAGTCACTTTGTTTCTACTGAGCCTGCTAGCAAATTAACTCACTGCGAAACCAGCTAACGTGTTTTTTTTTTTGTTTTGTCTTTTTATTTTGTAATTACCAAGAGTTCGTTGCAAAAACTAAAAATTAAGCAAACTTAAAGAAGAAATATATTATGGAGAATTGAATGATACTAAATCTATGCGCGTGCAACAGAGAAATATATTTATCTCTGAGTACATACATATGATTTATACGTAAGGCTTATTTGCATTGAATAGTTGTGTTGTGTCATGATAATAACATAGACGTGCAATGAGCTGATTTCGTGCAGATTCAGAATAGTCCTCAAGTGCTTCAAAAAAATGAGTCTTATTGGAACCTTTTTGAATGAAAATTATCAAAAATACATAAAGTACTCAAACGAATATAATTATTACATTTCCCCTAGCCTTAATCGAATTTAAAGCTGAAAAAGCCCCACTGCAGGGCTTTGGTCTGTTCCAAGTTCATTTAGGTTGCTTTCATAGAAAACTTCCCACTATACAATTATAAAAAGTCATACGTCCTCACATTTCGACGAAATCTCAGTTTTGACTGGAGGATGAGAAGCTCAGTTTTTAAACTGTACAGACCGACCAAACACGTCATATTAGTTATCGTGTCTAGTCAAACAAATCAATCTTTGCGCACGACTGCTTCGAGCGTTAGACCCCAAGTGACAAGCCAGCGGATCTGTCGCCTTTGTTGCAGTTCGGCTTCCCCGCAGTACACAACTTCTCCATTGTGGCAGTGAAGCCCGCCTCGCCTTTGGCTGACGCTCGCCTCATCGGTTTCCTGCTTTTAGCGCCTAACAAGCTGTCCACGCTGTGGGACAAACTACAGCGAACAAAATACCCATCGATAGTTTTTTTTTTTTTTTTACCACAAAGATCTTTAGACTGGCTATTTGAGAAGTAGTCGTGTATCCGATACGCGTCCTTCACTATAAAAAAATCTTCCTGGCGTCGCGTGTAAAGATACGATTAACAGGGACCACATGTTTTTCGACAAAATAGCTGTTTAGGTCACACGACTTCAGAACTCGTGGTCTCGCCACGGGGGCTAACGATTCTTGTTTCAGCACAAAATAACATAGCCGAATAGACGTCGAGCGCATGTCACGCAGCTTTTGGGGATACATACAAAGCTGTATTAACCAATTTCTAACTAACGTTTCCTAAAAATATATATATATATATATTTTATTGTTTAGTTTTTGTGCTACATTCGAAGCTGTGTCAACTTGTTCTTTTTCTTTTTAACGAATGTTTTTTTTTTTTTTTTTTTTAATAAGTTGTATTTCAGTCTGCGGAGCTCGGTCAACTCCTGTGCGCTCTAGGTGTCGTATAGTCGTACCTCATCAATATTTGTTTTCTGCGAACATGGCTGCCTCGTGTTGATTCGCGCGCGTGAAGCTATTTAAAATCAATGCTTTATTTTCTAGGTATACACCGGTGGAAGCCCCGGACAAAAAGCTTCTGAAAGCAGCTTGACGGAGTCTGTGGTGCCATTACAGTCTTAGCAGCAGCTTCAGAAAAAAGAAAGAAAATATATATTTTACATATTTTACATTTTACACGGAATAATGATAAACCAAACAAATCAACAAATGGCCTCCAAGAAGGTAGAAATTATTATCAGATATAAAACGATTTGCGCGAAGATCTGTTTTAGAAAGCATAAAAAAATTGTTATTTTGAAGGTACCATTTATTTAAGAGTGACGGAATGTTATGATGAAGCGATAGAATATAGTTTGTACGATTACGAGTGACCAAACATTTCTCCGGATAACGTGTAATGGTGGTGCTCCTATGTTCAGTGAGTTCGGAAATGTGGTACGAAAATTCCACAAATGTGAGAGATGAAAAGTGAATTGAATAAAGGCGAGCGATACTCAAGAAAATATTATACGTGAATTGCTTCGTATCTGTTAAATAAAGATTTTGTATGATAATTATACAAAAACATCTGCTACATAACGTTTTTTTTTTTTTTTTTTTGCTTTTTAGAATTAGAATGCTATTTAAGTTTGTTTTGGTAGTTTAACCCCAAATTAGGTGACAATAATTCAACTTTGAATTCAACAAGACATAAAAAAATGCATTTAATATTATCTGGTAGGAAGGGTTGGCACTTAGCGACAACCCCGACTATGTGAGAAAGCTTTTTTGTTAGATATTCAGTATGATAGTTTTATGTGCTCATAAAAGTATACGCGTAGAGTTTGTGGTGTTGCGCACAAATTCAATTGATCCGGTTCCGAGATTCAAAGTATTTGTCATATAAACTAATTTATTGACCAGTCTAAATAAAACTGCCTTGGCTTTCAATTTGTTAATTTTGAAGTCATGGACGTCCGACCTCAAGCAAAATTTGTTTAAAACTAAGTTTGCCATTGCGATAACTTCAGCAGCATATTTTCCGGAGAAAAGAAGACTGGTGTCGTCTGCATAAGTTATAAATTAAGTTTGATTGGCTATATTTACTACATCATAGATGGCGGTTCTCCAGATATGATTTAAACAGTAAAAATGAAATTCCGCGAACATCTTTTTTATATAAATTTGCAAGTCATGTTGTGTGATTAAGGCAATCAAAGGCTTTACTGAAGTCGATAAACACAGGAAGTGTTTGTAGTAATTAAACTTGAGGAAGAAAACGAGAAAGGACGGACAAACACAAACTTCCAACTGTTTGTAGTAACTTTTCAATATTTTCCAGTATAATTTACTTTTGTGATAACAAGGCCGATTCTGTAGATTTTGATTTTTGGAAGCCAAACTGGACCTCTGCTAATACAAAAAGTTTTGTAAAAAAGTATTCGAGGCGCTTAAAAATAATTTTCTTAAATCCCTTGGGAAAATGGGAAGAACAGATATTGGTCTATAATTGTTCAACGTATTTTTTATCCCCTCCTTTGTAATTACTTTAGCCAGCGTCATATTTTGAGGGAACTTACCAGAAGCGAAAGAGAAGTTACATATATGTACTAAGCATGGTGCAATACTATCTAGGACGAATTTGATAGGTTTAATTTTATTTCAAACGTCACAGCTCTTACCATTCTTTAGACTAGTGAAAATATCAAATATATCTTGCTCGTTTGTAGGATTTTAACAAAAGCTGTCATCCACCTCGCGAACAAACGACAACACCTTGTCACTTTGCGGTTTAGGTATTACTTTTATAAATGGTTTAGGTATTACCTTTATAAAGTACTAATTAAAGAGTTTCCACATAGGGGTTTCAGATACAGTTTGAGCATTTTGTTTTGAAACTGTTCCCCGGTTCAGGGCTTCGTTAAATTTTCCAGATAATGTCAGGTCGCTGTTTATCGACGTCTTTAAATATTTATTTTTAGTACAAAGACTTTGATTTGCTTAGTTCGCCGGTTAGCTCGTTCCGCAATTTCTTAAGTGTAACCAGTTTCTTTAGATTCCGTAACCCTCAAAACGTCTTGTATAAATGGTAGTTTTTTTTTTCATTTTAATATGTATTGGAGTGACGCAAGGTTTTCTAATTCGTTTGGATGCAGTAACTGTTACTTTTGGAAATGCACATTGTAGAGAGTTTTAAATGTTTTAATAAATGCATTATATGCATGATCAACATCTAGATACGAGTAAAGAAAGATCCAAGTTTGTCTAAAAACGGAATTTGTAAATGCGAAAATATTAAAATTCGAAATGTTCTGAAGAGTGGTTGTATTTTTATTATCTACTCGTTTCTCTGTATCGGGGTTGTGAAAAGGTGAAAATATTGAATTGTGATCGATGACGTCACAACTTACTGTTCCAGCTACGTTAACATTTATATTAACATTGGTGACAAAAAGATTGATGGCATTTGATGTTGATAAATAGTTGTCAATAATACATTTAAGAATTAAATTATATATATTCACATACAAAAATTCTAAAAATGCTAAAAATAAACTAAGTTTTCAAAATTTACTTTTGATGGGCGATTTGGACAGAGAAATATGTTTTCCTATCCCTAAAGATAAAGAGCCCCTGAAAAAAAAAAAAAGTTTTTCTAAGCTGGTTAATTGTGACTCACGTGTCAAAAAAAAAATAATAATAATTTTACGCGAAAAAAAAAATGTAGAGCAATATTGACGGCGAGAGACTTATTTGAAATTCTGCGTCACGTCACAGAATGATCATTCGCTCGTTCGACCTCAATGTGAAGGCGAAGCCAATCCACCTCTCCTCCACGCGCCCGAAATGCCGCGAGAGAAAGCAAGTGGAAAGGAGGTGACTACCGACTAAATCGCGTCTCGCGCCATTAATATTGCTCTAAATCTTTTTTATGATTTTTTTTGGAAGGGGCAGGGATTAAATTATTTTTTTTTTCTAACACGCGTGTCCCAACCATACTGTTTAGAAAAAAAAAAAACATTTTCTTTTTCTTTTGAGGGGCCCTTTAATACCTCATAACTATGCCCTTACATAGAGATGTCCGTTGCAGACTGTCTTTTGTGTGATGGGCATTAGCTCAGCTTGACCCCCGCTTTAGAGTATTCCTCGAGTTTCCTGTGGCCGCCGCCATTTTGGTGCCTGGTGTAGAACGGACGCAATAGGCGTAGAATTACCATTCGAAAATGGGACTTCCCGCCTAGAGCCGCTAAATGAGCTGCGCTTAGAGTGTCGGCACTCCGTTCCCCGACATTGTTGTGGGCGCCGCCATCTTGACTCGTATGCAGAGCAGACGCAACTGCCGATCGTCATGATTCAA